AATCTGTGTTTCTATTCGCACCAATCCCCAAAACCGATATTCGTTTTGTAAGCTACGGATTTTTTTTTTAGAGAGTACGTGAGGTCGTTTTAGAAACAAATTATTCTCAGAAAGTTCTGCTGAGAAAAAACAGTTTTTTGGTTAAAAGGTACGAGCGGCCGGTCGCACCGCTTGTGGGCTGGATCCGCCACTGGTTTTTTGAGAATTAAAAGAGAGAAAAATAAATTTAAAAAAATAAAATAAAGAAGCAACGATGGTAAGAGCTCTCGTACACGCGAACCACTCTAGCAGTGGGTTAACCGTCAGACTACGAAATGTGATCCTGACACTCACAAGGGATTCAAAACCTTTATTCAGTTCAGAAGCTATTGGAATGGTGGTAAGTTATGTACATATATAAGTACTTAAGGTACCCGTCTGAATTTTCGAGAAACGCTTCGGTTTCAAAAAACTCAAACTTCTTTTTCAAAGGATTTCTTTCAGATTCAACATTAAAAACTGAGTATAAATCTGATGTTTGATCGAGGTTGAAGTCAAAGGTCTATCCAGTATGGACGTATTAGAGTCGCTCTGTAAAAAGTTCGTACATACGACACTTCGTATTGATCAATTCATCAATAAATTTTTCTACATCGAACTTTCGTACAGTATTTTTATGAATAATACTATCCATTTCAAAATAGAAAGTACTCAGCTGTTTTTGGAATATATTCGCAACGATAGGTAAGATAGACCTCTAGTTTTTAGCAGTTTGAAAGTTTGGGACCAATCCAGTCATCAAAAAGTCATTTTCAAATTCGTGTATCATATCCAATAAAATTCTAAAAACTACGGTTACATTTTTCGTTCCAAAGCGATGACAAGATAGGATAACATCCGCTCTTGAAATCTACGTAAGTTCGAGATCTCCAGCGTTTTCCGCTTGGACTCATGAAAGAATTTCCTGAAACTACCATAAACTTTTCAGATCACATGATTTAACATATTACAATCATATTAATACATAAAAACATGGGTTATGGATCATTCTGAGCTTTTTTGGAATGTTGGTTTTTAGAAAGAAGCAAGAAAACCTGGTGAACATGAATTTTGAGAAAAATACCTTAATTTTAGTTATAAGCATCAAAAACTAAAAAATAATAACTCGCTCAAAATCCAATGAGATTACTTGAAACTTTCAGCACTGTCAGATCAGATGAATAAACTGGAAAGAACTTTAAATAATGTGTCTCTTTCCTTACAGTAGAACTTTTTTTAAAAAGAACCCGAAAACCTTTAGGATTAGAGAACAAATGCTTTTCTAACTCAGTCCATATATAAACGAAGCAGAACAATATTTTTTGAGAGTACAGGTACATTCGAAATGTTTTAAACGCATTTTTTTCTCTTTTTTTATTTACAAAAAAAAGCGCTTCGATATCATTCCTACCTTGACGCAAACTTCTCTACTGGTCAGAATACTGGTAAACCTCCTATTAAATCTATAGAACGGAGTGTGCGAAAATGTAAAAAGAAACCGATAGTAAATTTTTTCATCACTTATTGAGAATATTCATTTCAAAGTTCAAGAGAGGATCCATCTGTCTACGAGCCTGATACTAGAACACACACCTTCTCTCATTCTGCAATTGAAATCGCTCAAAGGTTATCTACTGGGCTTTCGGTTCGTCTAATTAGTGCGTTTAGGTCATTAGATTATTTTGAAGTAGTGATTATATGTAGTCAAAGGCAATTAACAATAATTTACATTACGTCGAGTTACGTAAAGACATCGACTTCTTTAGAAATAATATCTATTTTTAACAAAACTTAATTACCTTTCTTTTTTGTTTTATAATTTTCTCGAAATCCTCGACTCAATGTTTTTGACGTATGTAATGATATTTGAGTTTCGGATTCATCGCAGTAACTATTGACATTTTGTCCAAGTAATGTAACATCTTTAATTCCGATATCAACCAAATACTTGAGTTCTTCTAAAATACTTTTCATAGGTCTAAATAGAAAATAAAGCATTTGAAGATGAATTTTTTTTCTATCTTTCATTCTGTGTCGAAATTACCTACTCCGTTCTCGACTCCTTGTAAATGGGACAATACAAAATGAACACATATTATTACAACCACGCATTATGGATACAAATGCTTTTTTTGTTGTTTGATCATACCGTAAGGGCGTCATTTTTTGTGATATCCTGCTCTCTTGAGTAAATAAAAATCTTATCTTATCTATCTATCTTATCACATCAACATACGTTTCATCTAACGACAATAACACATTAACACCCTTTCGTCCATCAGTCTCTAATGATTGATCTAATAAACGTGGTAAATCTCTGTATGCATCTGGACCACAAACAACATCAACAATTTTTTCTTTTTCAATTAATTTTTCTTTTAAACGTTCTGCCATACATCCAAGAATGCCAACTTGTAGTTGTTCATTAATGCGATTCCGTTTTACGGCAGACAATGCTTTTAGTTTTTTCCAAATTTTCTGTTCAGCTTCTTCACGGATACTACATGTCATCAGACTGAAAAATAATAACAATAGTAATAGTAAATAAATTATCGTTCTTCGGGAAAAGCTTACAGTACAACATCAGCATCATGCTCATTCGATACACGTTCATAACCACCATGTTGAGCCAAAAATGTATAGGCTATATCAGTATCATTTTCATTCATTTGACAACCATATACTTCAAAGTAGACACGACGTTTTTGTTTTACTTGTTCTTCATCCTGTAGAAGATATGGCGGAAGAGTTTGCTCGATTATTCGATCACTATATTCACTACCATTATTTTCAATAAATGTTTTTAAACTTGGACCAGTCAATAGTTTCTCTCGCCATGCTGCATAACTAGGAGCAGTTTGTGTTGAAACTGTTGAATAACATCGACGAAACAATGGTAACAAATGACGTGTTATCATCTGAAGAAAAAGAAACAAGGTAATAGATCGATCATTGTATAAATTTACGGTAACTCTACAATTTTCGATCCAGAAACCTGAGAACTAAGAATTTTCAGCATATGTTTTCCAAAACAAATAAAATTTTTAAATATTATCTCTTTCAAATAAAAATGGAATCAGATACTTTTTAAAATAACTCGCGACAAAAGAAAACTAATGAACTATCGCTTTTTACCATTTGATTGACGAGACTCGAAAATATTTTTCCACAGGCAAAATGAACTTTATGTTTTTCGAACCTACACCTTCTTTGAAAACTCGTTTGCTTCACCAAGTTTTGAAGTGTGAAAAGCTTAAATTGTTTCAGATGAGCAGACAGCGCAGTGTCCTACTCAAAACAGGAGTTACACAAAGTAGTTTTTAGCAGCCTGCATACCGAAAGCTTTCAAAAATCTCCGAAAAGAACGTTTTACAAAACTCAGGCGTCCACAAGCTGTCCCCATCAGACACTAACAAAAAGTCACATCTCACCCAAAATCAATAAGAATAAGCTGAAACTTTTAGGGTATGCTTAATTTTGTATGGGAAATCTCATTACGCCATCGAAAAGGCAAAGGAACTTGTCTTATCGTGAGGTTTTCTCAAAAAGCTTTTAGAAAACTATGGGATTTTACGTAGTTTTACAGTCGAAACATTGATGACAGAGTAGCTTGAGCACAATAGCTTTTGAAGTTTTCAGGTCATTTGAATTAATTTTAGATGAGATTTCTTAGTTTGCGATGAAAATAGCTTCTAAACCATAATTTTAGTAAAACTGAGTTCTCACTAAATTCTTGTAAGCTTTTCCTACCAGAAAATCCAACGCTATGCCTTATGAAAAGACAGCTTCAGGTATCCGTGTTTCTTCTCTCACGAACTATTCAAAAGATACCAGAGTCCATTTCAATTAGAAACACATTTCAGACAGAATAACGAATGCTACTCAGTAAGCTAGAAGAAAACTGCAATGAAAATAATTAGTGAGATAAAGTACATTGGATATACAAATACTTTTTCTAATAATTATAAGGTTATAAACTACAAACTTTTGATAAATACTCAACAAAATCAATTAAACGTAAAACCAATAATGTTAAAGTAAAAGTCAGATGAAAAAGTTAGCAAAATAACTGTTCATGATCTTTTCTTTAAACCTTCTAACAATAAAAAACTATTTTTGGCATTTCGCTAGGATGAATAAATTGCACAATGGACTTCACTCATTGTTTTTAAATTTTCAGCTCCATCTTATGATGTAGGTTGCATCCAACGGTAACGACCTGATGCGAAATTATTCATTGTATTAAACAGTCATAATCACTGACAATTACTAGAAAGACACCATGCTAGGCGATTCAATATAGTTCCAGTGATAAAACAGTAATATTTCATTTTCTATCGAAAATACTCATCAGCTGATTTTAGAAACTTTTCAGTGACTTTTCGCTCTCTTTCATGTTTAACGAACGTTATTTCGATCGTAAGGAAAAATAAATGGCTTTATTTTACTCTTTCTATTATCACAAAATGAACATACTAAAGAAAGAAAGGTAAAATCTAGTAGAGCGAATTTCATTGTGACAAAATATAAAAATAAATATAAATTCTATCAGAGAAAAACAACAACAACAGAAAACAGACACGTAGTACTGAATAAACAATAAATGGTTTAGAAACTAAAACGAGCAAGGGTTAAAATTAAAAATTATAACATAGCAAGCGAAGGACGGCGGCTTCTCTCAAACAACAAACAAAAACAGGGAAAATAATTCGTCATTTGAAGACCCAGTGCCAGTATCTGACGAGGAAGAAATTATGTGGCCTGAAGATGGTGAGGTATGGTATAACCATGAAATAAAACAACAGCGTCACCAATTTGTTCGAACAACAGCACCTCATTTATATGATTATGCAACACTAAAACAAGTAATCACAGCAGCTAGTGCCCCACATGAAATAATAAAATTAGTACCAAGTAATAATAATCATCAGCAAAATCAACGCGAAATGGGACATGAATTATTAAAACCACAAGTACAAAATCGCAAACAACAACAACATTCATGGCTTCAACGACCAACCCAAAAAGCTGTTAAACAACGGTCAACAAAACAACCTTCATTTTTAGGTACTACAAATGACATTCGTTCGGATCCAATTGCAGAGAAGCCTCAAACATCCTCCAAACCAACACCGTATTCATTCTCTGAGCCAAAATTAAAATCCTCAGTTGGTGGTAGTTGGATACTAAATACTTGGGTTTTATTGTCATTGTTGCTATTATCCATGTTAGGTGGTCGATTGTTACGGCGACCCACACAATCGATAGCTGGTGATTCTGAACATCTTGTTCAATTAATTGTGGCAGTTATTCGTGTGGGAATTCAGTTTACACATGCAAAACAACATGATGGTTTGTTTGGTTCTAGCAAGATTGAAGATACATCGGGACATTGGGATTGGTTAAGGCCGTATATGGTGCCATAAACAAAAACAATACCGTCATTTCAACTGCGTACGGGCCTACGGTTATCCACAAAATTATGTATTTAGTTGTTAGAAAAGTGTTGAACCTAATTTACTGGTAAATAGTGGTATTGGTCTAATGAATCATGCTGGTGGCAGCTTCATGAATGATTGCTCAAACCCAAATAGTTATAATATTAAAATGGTAGGGATCAACCATAGCGTAATATCAGAAGACCTCACACATCAGCCATACAACTATTTGTTATCCTACCCAGTGAAAACAACCATGATGGTGCCCAATCTTGGATTTCAGTTTGCTGAAATGAACGTGCTCAAATCGAAATGTTTGGTCAGTGATAATGGTAGTGGCAGTACTGGAACACTGAACACCAAAAGGACCTTCAAGAGGCATTTAATGTTCGATGAACGTGGAAGTTCATCTTGTTTCATGGGGGGAGGTGTTATGCCACGCACTACAGTCGTGCCATAAGGGAGAAGATCATAGTTAAGGTTATTGCTCAAGCATATAGTCTAAATAATTGCGCAAGAGTATATTCAAGGTTATGGTGTAAGACTATGGTCAAGGTTATTGCGCAAGAACATTTAACGCTATGGTGCAAGAACATTAAAGGTTATTGCATAGACTCTAGTCAAGGTTATTGCGCAGTCTACTCAAGACTATCGCGCAATATTTCGTATATAAATACATCAATTTTATTGTTAAGGATATCTTTTTTATTTGTAAATAAACGTTAGGTGAGAAAGATCTTAGTTTACCCGGGAACCTAACAGAATAGCTGATTGAACATGTAATAGACAAATCGTGTATGAACAGAAACTTGAGTATATATGCTGTTAAAAATAACTGTAGTAAAAAGCCGCATACAAGCACAAAGAGGGGATAAACGTCGTTGATATTTGACAGAAAGATACAGACACAGCAAATAAATACTGTCTCTAAGTTTTTCGATTATACTTACAGTATATTCTGGAAAAAAAGCAAAATTTTGTTTAAAAATAGCTGAAAATAGCTTAAAAATTCCTATTTAGTTTAAGCGATAAACAATCTATTTCTATAAGTTTATTCCATGAGAGATAGAAAAGACATTTCAAAGATTTTAAATAGCTATATATTTTTTGATTGAAAACATACCGGTTACTGTATATGGATAATAATTCCAGGCTTTCTCAGTGATATAAAAGAGGTTTGGTATAAATGATCGAATCCAACTCGGTAAACGACTAAATTAAAAAAAAACGTCTCCTCGTTGTATACCATCCTACGATCAGAATGCACTCAACAATAAAGTGTATTTACCTTGATAAATATAATCTTTTCTCCGTACATTGGCCGCTTCCGTACTGTTCATCATTGCAAGGTTCATTTTTAACAACTTCCACACCTTCATCTCTCATACTCTCTTCTTCGCAATGCTTGCATATCATGTATAACTGACCAAGTCGATACTAAAAATGCATAAATAGCAAATACTGTTCTGTTGCTCGGAAACGTCTCCAACATTTACTTCTTCTACAGTCAGCGGTAAACATATTCGATATTCTTGCAACAACATTCCTACTCGTAAATACAGTGAAAACTAAAATTGAGTACGACTGTACTTCTACATTCAGTTACAGGCGGAAAACTAGTTCGTTCTTAGTTGAAACTGATTATGATCATTGATTTACTAATTCGCATTTCGGCATTCAGAGATGAATGTCCATATAAAAGTCTTATGAGCCCTTTTATAAATGATTCCGATATTAGCGAAAGCTCAGTAGAAATTCTTCAGTTATCTGACAAACAGGTTACCACGAATGAGAATTACCCATGTTAATTTTTTCATTCGTCAAAAAATGTGCTATTATTTACCAAAAAGCATGGCGTGTCAGGAGAGGGCGCTAGATGATATGTTATTATAAATCAAATGATTTTGTTCGTACCATCATACTATATTTCAGTCGAGAGAACTCAAAAAACTAATCAAAATAATATATATTTTTGTCCATGCAAAGTAGCTCCGTAGACGAAAACGTCTGTTTCAAAGTGCAGTCTTATACTAAACTCTGGTATTTTGGAAAAGAACGGTGAAAAAAATATCCGTTTTGGCTAGAGATAGTTTGAAACATAGATTTTTACATGCTCACTCTAATATAAGCTAAAATTAGAGCTTAGTTTTCTTGTCATTAAATCAAAATTTCAAAAGTAAAGTTTTAAAATTTTTTCTCAAAATGGGAACCCTAGAGAATGTCCCGTTTGTCTGGTCTTGAAAACAGACTGAAGACTGATTTACTTACAGGTGTCTGTTTCCTGTTTCTTTTCTTGTTCTGGTCAGTTCCAAGATCGGAACAAGAAAGTGATAAGGCCAGATGAAGATAGTCTGTTTTTTCTACTGATCAGAGAAACAGTAAATCTTCGTCTGGTCTTGACTTTTTTGTCTGATCTTGATATTTTCTGAGAAACGGACACTGGTCAGGCTCAAGACCAGAGCTAAGTTTTTCTTTTCATAATCACCGTTTTGTTTTGCTAAGTCACGTAGTATATAGTGACCACTAATTCTTCGAAAAATTTCAAAGTTATTCTCATAGGTGATGAGTAATGTCTTAGAGATTTCTGTGCTGAACAACAGATATCTAACGACATTCCGAGTCTGATAGTTACATTGGAAGGTCTTCTGAGATCTCCAGAAAACTTTCTGGGTTTCTACTGATTTTTGCGCAGTATGAGCGATTAGCGAGCAGCACACCTAATTTTTGCATATATACAACAAGCTTGCGGTCTTGATTTCTTTCACTGATCAGGCCAAAAACAGGTCCTGACCAGGAAAATAGGCAACGACTTTTTTACTTACAGGTATCTGACCAGAGAAACTGCACTGTAAAGTTGGAAATTATTTATAGAAAATGCTCGGCGAATTTCAAAGAATCCATATATGAATTTCTCGAGCATTTTCTAGTTTATTGAAAATCGAAATTTCCAGTTTATTGAAATTCCTCGTCGAATTTCCAGTTTCTTGGGATTTATTTATGGAAATTCAACGTCGATTTTCTATAAACTGGAAATTCCTTGGCGAGTCTGCACCGAGTGGTAGCGCGACCAGGTTGTATTGGAGTTGATCCCGCCTCCTCATGCTTTTGAGAAATTTCTGGTGGACTTCTCCGATTTTGGGACCTTCCTACCGAAACTACCCCTTCGCACCACCGCTGTCTCTGCCTAAATCAAAATTCTTGCTGGCATAGGCAGAATTGTGATTTAAAGTGGAAGCTGTCAAAGCTGATTTAAGTGTGATATGAGTGTCTTTACGTAACGCTGTTATACCTACACTGATTGCAAAACAAAAAGGTGAATAAGTAGTTGGTCTAGAAATTCCTGGGCGAATTTCCAGTTTCTAGAAAATCGATCGAATTTCTATAAATAATTCCCAAGAATCTGGAAATTCATTTTATTTTCTATAAAGCAGAAACTCGAGGAGGAATTTCCACTTTATAGAAATTGCTTATCGATTTTTCAGTTTTATAGAAATTCGTATTTATGGAAATTCAAGACGATTTTCTAGGAAGTAGAAATTCAACGATTTCTATAAAGTGGGAGAATCGGTGAGGAATTTCTGTAAACTAGAAATTGTTCAGCGATTTTTCAGTTGATTTTCTATAAACTGGAAATTAATTCAAGATTACAGTGTGGTCATCCTCTAGGCAATATTCCAGACTATCGGTTTCCACCGCAAAAAGGCGATTCACAATCAACAAATTTCATTTTTGAAAATTTCCAACTGGTTAATCACACTGTGCACTTACACTTTTCAACAATGAATCGTCTCTACGAACGCTAAGAGTTTTCTTTTAGCTACATTTGTGAGGTGAACTGTTGTTGAAATGATATAGTTAACTTTGAACGGAAATATGTGTTAATATTTAGCGGTAAGTACTAAATAAAAGGAATGAAGGAAGAAAGTTATTCCATTAGTTTCTTTGCCGTGGTATGATGGCATCAATTTGAAGATGGTTGCTATTGTTTCTTTTAGGTATGTTGCAAAGAAAACGAGATTGTTTATTCAAATAGTTAGTTATTGAGAAGATTGACTTTGAGCTGTATTACTTGAAGTGAACTCTTCTTGTACGTACGAATGTTTTTTTGTAATGTTGACAGAAAATTGTTGTGAATCATAGCAGAAAAGAGTGATCAATAAAAAATATTTAAGTAATGATATTTAATCATATTTAAGTGATCTCCATTTAAAAATAATAACATTTTTCTTTTCAACATGTTCGCTTTTATCAATGTTTTATCAGCCAAAATGTATTTAACTTAGGATTGAAAGTTATGAAATCAGTAAATGACCAATGTAATGAGTGATATTCAATTTATTTGTTCATATTATTGGTGGGAGAAAAAATCCATCGGAAAACATGCAAATTCTAGTCAACATCCTTATTATCGCTCAAAAAGTAATAAACTTTATGATATCACATTTTCGTCTACTTAACATTTTCTGTTATGCATACTTAATATATTTTTGTCACATAAATTTTTAACAAGTGCCGATAGTGTATAGTGTTCTTTTCTTCTGACAGTCGCAAAAGACGTTAACTAGTTAGAATAATAATAATGGCATAGAAAAGTTTAGTATATCATAAGAGTATGGTAAAAAATTTGTTTTAATGTTGATCATCTTGGTAGATAGTCAAATTGCGGATGAAATAACATTCTCTTCAGGTACGTGCTGGTCCTTAAATTCTCCGATTTGTGCTGTTCCATTCAAACTAAGAGCTTTGCTAATTTCAGTCTCAATTTTATAAACAATGTCTGAAGAATATAAAATACACACTATCCAAGAATGCTTTCAAGGTGCTGACAATATTGGATATGATATAACAACAGCTGATGCTGATAGTGGTAGTAATGGGCGCTTTCATGAACAGATTTCAGTGAATCAAAATAGGACTGGTACGTGGTTATCTAAAGTAAAATTTTGGGCAAAAAAATATCATTGGCGAATGCGAGATTACTTCTATATTCATCTGGCTGTTTTTATATTAAATTCTTTTTTGTGTGGATTTATTGTAAGCAACTTACGCCGTTTCTTCACTAGAGATGTTTATATAGAAATAATTGTAGGTTTGGCTTATTGAAAACCGATTCGTTCAGACTAGAAAATTGTCTGTTTATTATATTGATGCATGGTTTGTGAGTGCTACATGCGTATATACATGCGGTTTGACCACACTAGATTTTGCTAAATTGTCCGTCGCATCCCAGTTAGTTCTAATGTTATTTACATGGATAAGTGGAATAACGGTGTCAACAATACCGGCTATTCTTATCAACATTGTTCTTGCTAAAAAAGAAATACGTGAAAAAAATAGTTTAGATGAACATGACGATTTTTTTATAAAAAAATTAGTCTCAGACAAACACCATTCCAACGTTGAAAATAAAATACACTCATTGCCAAATGTGGAGGAAATACGAGTGAAAGCTTACATTCTGATAATAGTGCTAATCTTATCAATTTGTTTTTCCGTTTATCTCGTAACATTTATTGCCATTGGACTGCGTTTACAGTTCCATTATGAGCCAAGTAGTTTAAAAGAAGATGATATTGTGATTAATCCCTGGTATGCAAGTTTCATTATAACACTCACTGGTTTCAATCAAAATGGTTTATCTCCATGGTACAATCGTCTTATTAGTTTTTCGCTAATAGACTATACATAATGTTTTTATTAATTTAGGTCCGACGGTTTAGCACGATTTGTTAAGGATGTTTATATAAATATTTTTGTCATGTTTGTGGTTATTAGTAGAACATCGTTGTTTCCAGCCATTATCCATAGAGTTATTAGCATTTTAAAACAAGTCGTACCATGGCGTTTTAAAATAATATTTGACTACATTCTACTGAATAATCATAGACTAACAACCGTTCTTTATCCAGCGGTACAAACCCGCTTATATTTGACAATCACGTTAATCATGCAAATAACCGGTGTCTTCATCTCACTTATCTTGGATTTCACCGATGAACCTTTGAGTGTGTACAACGGTGGTACAAGATTCATGATATTCATGTTCGAGACGGTGAATGCTCGATTCGCCGGTTATCAAACAATTGACATTAGTCGATTAGCTGCTGGCACACTATTGACTTATATGCTGTTAATGGCCGCTAAACCACAAATGTTGTGTGCCATCAATGAAAATCCCTTTGAACTTGAATGGATTGTATTACAAACTCAAGAGAAAGTCGAGCAAAAACTTGAAACTCGACGACAAAGCATGGGATTGCAGAATACAACTGTCTTGGATGTTAGAAGACAAAGTGTGGCGTTTCCAATAAATCGTGTTCAAAATTTTCTAAAACGACAAAGTACAGCGGCCAAAACAAGTGCAAGAAAACATTTTTCTAAGCATTTGAAACAAGCATTAGCGAAAAATCAAATCGGTGTTGATGATATACATAATGTAATGAACATTGATCGAGGAGGACAGCAACCTCAAATTTCTCATCGTCCTAGTGCAGTTGCTAGTGGTAGTTCAAACGATGACGATACCAATATATCTTGGTTAAGAAGGAAATTATTTATTATTGTTTTCACAAGACAATTAATCCAAAGTATCTCTGTTCTAATCATTTCACCACGTATGTGGCTCTTTCTCTTTCTTTTCTTAATATGTTCATTTGAACAATATCATTTGCATCCAACTGATACAAATATTACTGTGTTTAAAATTATATTCGAAATCATATCAGGTTAGTTGGAAATGGAATATGAATTTTAACTGTATAATTACTTGATCTTTTATTTCAGCGTTCGGTGGTGTTGGCCTCACTCTAGGTTATCCTGGTATAGCGTCAAGTTTCTGTTCAGTGTTTTCATCTAAGAGTAAAGTAATAATTATTATATGTATGTGTATTGAAAGACACCGCGGGCTTGTGGATTCAATGAAAGATCAAGAACAAATTGAGTACAGTGCTGTGGGACTTAATTGAAAAATGGAGACAACGAGCTATTTTAGAACAAAGACTAGAAGAAGAAAAACTGACCGTCGGAACGTTGAGGAAAGAACTATACAAGACGAAGCTATAAATATCAGACTGTAGGCTAAACTCACATTTTGACAAATTTTATGCTTTTCAAACATATCATTAACTTGTAAGAGTTCGACCTGCTTACCAAATCAGTTTTATCAAATAAATCATACATTTCACGTAATATTGACTTCAATGCAAATTTAACAGACAGCTGATGCTCCCTTCAATGATGCCGCTTCGTTCACAGGCCTTTGATTCGAGGACATGCTTCTCCTCCTGTTGTTCAACTTTGTGTTTCTTTTAAATAAAAATAGAAAAAGAAACGAGAACATCATGCCACAGCAAAGAAACTAATGGAATAACTTTCTTCCTTCATTCCTTTTATTTAGTACTTACCGCTAAATATTAACACATATTTCCGTTCAAAGTTAACTATATCATTTCAACAACAGTTCACCTCACAAAGGGGTGCTTCCACACAGGTCCGCCCACTTTATACAGAGCTTCTTGCCGCGAAGA